AAAAAAAAAAAAAAAAAAAGAAGTAAAAAATATACTGCTTTTGAGGCTTTTACTTGAGTATATCAGTTTTCAAGCCCCAACAATATAATCCCTGTAGGGATTTAGGCCTTGTCCAGGATAGGATCTTTCTGGGTTTAGATTTAAGTACTGAAGGACAAAAAAGCAAAAGCAATCCTATTCTGTAAGGCACAGGGCTTCTTTCAGAGTGTTCAATAATTGGTGGGAGAGGCAGTTCTGGGTATCCAGGGCCTTCAGATTGAGCTACATCCCAGCCCTTTTGCTAGTCAGGGTTTTACTAAATTGCTCAGGCAGGACTTGAACTTGACTGCCTCAGCGTTCCAGAATACTTAAGGACTACAGGTTTGTGTCACTAGACCTTATTTACCAAAAAAAAAAAAAAAAAAAAAAAAAAAACCCAAAAACTTCTAAACAAAAAAGAACAAAACAAAACTTCCCAGTTGGGAGAAAGTTATGCTCCGAAGGGTGGCACCCTACCTAATTAAAGTAATTGTTTTTGTTTTTTGAGACAGGAACTCATGTAGTTCAGGCTAGCTTTGATCTAAATGTAGAGTAGGGCCTCAACCCCATGGGAATCCTACTGCCTTAAGCCTTCTGAGCACTGGGATTATGGCCATGAATTCACTAGGTAGCCCAGTGGCAGGGGTGGGGGGGTGGTTGTGTGGGCCTGTAATACCAGCACTCTGGAGGCTGAGACAGGAGGATCTCTGCAAATTCGAGGCCAGCATGAGATAACAATGAGTTCAAGGCCAGCCTGAACTATATATTGAAACTTGTTTCAGACAAATCAAAGAAAAAATATAGCCCAGTCTGTCCTTGAATTTGCGGGGACCCTATTGGGATCACGGGCTTGCACCGCCATGCCTATTATTTTGTATTTTCAATCAATTTCCATAAAAAGTCCTTTTCAATTGGGAGGGCAGTGGTAGAGTGCATGCATATAGCATGGGTGAAGCTCTGGGTTCAATTCCCAGCACTGCCATAAAAATTTATATGGGATTACAGGATGTAGCACTTTTTTTCTTTTCCCTTGGTATTGGGGATTGAACCAGGGGCTTCACAATGAGCTTTATCTCCACACTCCCTGGGCCCCTTTTGGTCTTAAGATGCAGTTCAAACTGGTCTAACACCAAGGTGATCCTCCTGCCTCAACCTCCCAAATTGGGATTAAGGCCTATGCACCACGCCCAGATCCCAAAATTATTTTACAGGATTACGAATCATATGAGTACTAGAAACTGAGGAAACAAGCCTACAGGAACTCCTTTGTCCCTCCAAACAAGCAGGTAGACGTCGGCCTAGGCCAGCCAAAGGCGACAGCTCCAGCTCTGGCTCACAAAAGTTAGGACGCCAAAAAACCTGCACCACACCGACCGCTCCCTCACAGCATCCGGCAGGTGAGGATTTGCGGAAGCAGACCTATGGGTGAAGCGGCTCTAGGGACCTTAAAGCGGAAAGAAAAGCGACTTCCGCCTCCACTCGCGTTCAAGGGCGTAACGCCGCGGTTGGACCTCGGCGCTCCGCCGGGGAGGTCGGGCCAAGATGGCGGCGCGTCACGTGAGCAGCGCGGTGACGCAGCGCGGAGGCCCGCACGGCGGCGCCGCCCAGCCTCACCCCCCACGCACCCTTGCACTCAGTGTTGCCCCCCCTCCCCTGCCCCCGGCCTGTTGTAGATCATGCCGCCACTGGCGGCCCAGACTGTCGAGCAACGGTAGCCTAGGACAGTTGGCTGTCAAGTGACACTGCTTCTCCCAGCCCCGCCTGACCCCGAGAGACAGGCACGTTCCCCACCGCGAGAGGGGTGGGGAAGTGGGTAGTGAATTCGGAGCCACCTGGGAGGGGGGAGTAGAAGTTCCCGCCCCGGAGAGCGGCGAGGCTACGCCACAGGTAAGCGGGGGGCGGGAAGGGACGTGTGCCTCTCAGCCCCGGGCGCGGAGGGCTCTGGAGCGCGGACGCCGCGCCGGTCGCGCGCCGGGTGGGGGTCGCGCGCGGGCGGCCGCGGTGGGGGAGGGGCGCGCGGGCGCGCGGCGGAAGGGGGAGGGGCCGTCGCCTCCTGGCCGCGCGCGCTTCCGGTCCCCGCGCCTCAGCCCAGCGTCCTGCTCTTCCAGTCGTTCGTCGTCTCCTCCCACCCCACCCCCCCCCCCCGATAGCCGCGGGAAGGTCTCTTGCAGCTGCCAGGGGCTGAGGGGCCGAGGGCCGGAAGCCGCCGCTCTGCGGTCGGAGGCGAGAGCTCGCGGCGTTGAGTCGGCGGCCGCGGGCAGGGCGGCGCGGCCTTGGCCGGAGCCGTGAACCCCGCGAGGGCCGGGCATCCACCATGCCGCGCACAGGCCGGTGGGGCGGAGGCCGGCAGTGCCGCAGTCACAGACGCCGGGGCGCTGCCGCGGAGGTGCGAAGGCCGCGGATGCCAGGCTCCGGCCCGGAGCGCGGGCCGACCCCGAAAACTTTCCTCCTTGGTTTACTGCCACATTGTAGGCGAAGCGTGGTGTTTCTCAAAGTCAACTACGCTGTGGAGTGAGGGGGCAGCTTAGTCTCTTTAAAATTATTGTAGATGTTAATGTCTACTTCTGTTAGCTTTAAATAGCACGGGGGCAGTAACCGTCTTTGAGAGCCCTTAACCTGAGGTAATCTCGGCGCAGAGGGGGTGGGTTCTTGGTCAAACTGGCCTCTCCCATGAGAACTGTATTTCGGCCGGCAAAATGCGCCTGATCCCTAGAATTTTGTTACCAAAAAGTACGCGTTTTACCGAAATAGCGTGTTTTCCTATCAATACAACAGTTATCTTTGTCTTAATTAAAACCCCTTTCTGTTGTCCTAAAGCCGGGAGGTGGCTCTCACCAGTAGTTCAGCAGCCGGGAGGCTGAGGCAGGAGAATCAAGTTTGAGTCTCATCAGGGCCAACAGACTCTTCTTTTTTATTTTTTTGGCGGAACCGGGGGTTGAACTCAGGTCCTTGCACTTGCCAGGCAAGCACTTATTCTACTAAGCTATCTTCCCAGCCCCCTGAACAGACATCCTGTGTGGCTAGCCTGGGCCACATAGGGAGACCTTGTCTCCAGGACAACAACCCTCGACAAAAACACTACAGTGTTTGTAGTTTACCCTGTAGGGCAGTTTGGTGTGTGATGCCCCTTCAGTACTACTGTGTCCGGTGGTATGCGGTACTCCCTTCAAAAACTACACTTTGATCTTTTCCTGGTTGCCAACTCTTGGTTGGTTTGTTATCTTTGTGCTTCAGTTGACCAGTTTTTAACCCTGGTGTGAAGTAAATCTCTAAGAATGCTTCTTTAGCCAGTGTTCTGTTTTTTTTTTTTTTTTTTTTTTTTTTTTTAACATTTATTGTATGTGTGTGTGTGTGTGTATGTGTGTGGCCAGCTCAGCCCAGCAGGGGGCGCGGCTGGCATGTGGTGCTGGAGGATTGAACCGCGGTCCCTGTGCTTTGCCAAGCTTGTTCCAAGTACGTGCTTTAGACCACTGAGCCATCTCTCCAGCCCCCCCAAATTTTTTTTTTTTTTTTTTTTTTTTTTGCAGAACCAGGGATTGAACTCAGACCCTTGCGCTTGCCAGGGAAGTGCTTATTCCACTGAGCCATCTCCCCGGCCCCAGTGTTCTGTTTTAATAAGTAGGTGTATCTAAGTAAACTGGTTTATTTGGCATGAATAAAGGCGAAGGCGTAAGTGTCGCACTGGGAACAGGTAGTCTTGGACTCCCTAACCTAGGGCTTAATTTTCGCGGGGGAGACAGGAAGGCCATTGCGGTGCTATGCTGAGTGCTGAAGGGGCACAGTCGGGAGAGATCCAGTCCCAGTTGCTTGAATAGCTGCATGAAGGAGGAGACAAAGGCGCTTAAGAAAGGAGAAAGGCCTGTTGGAGAATCTGAAAGTTTGGGGTGAACAAAAGTAAGAAAAAAAAAAAAAATACACCACAGCATGAGAGTGGACTGCTGTGAAAAAACCCAGTAGTAAAATTCAGTGGAAATAACAGCAAGTTTGAGGGAAGAACGAACTCAGTTGTAGAAATGTTTGCTGGAGCAAAGGGCTGACTCCTTTGTCATCCTCTAACAGTGAGGAAGCTCAGACCTTCTCAGAAGGGAATACTGTCCTCTGTTGGTGTCTTATGCCCTCTGCCAGTTTACAAGTGGGGAAACGGACAGGCTGGTTAAGCACATTTTAGTGTTAAGTAATCTCATTTAAAAAACGTGTGCTGAACACAGTGCAGGCATTAAGAGAGAGAAGGAGCAGTTAGGAAAGGTGAATTGGGAGGGTGTTCTTACAGGAAAGAGGGAACATAGGAAGTTCCCATTAAAACAAGTTTAGCTTCAGTGTTTCATCCACTTGTTACTGTGAGTTCCACAGTAAATGACAATTTCTTTGAGTTCTTTTCCTTCCTTCCCTTCCCCTGTTGCTTCCTTTGAGACAGGGTCACACTATAGTCCAGGCTGGCTTGAAACTCAGTGGTATGCCTTAGCCTCCCATGCATTTGCCACTAGGCCCAGCGAGAGCTTTGATTTACATATCTCTAAAATAGAAAAATCCAAGAGATGACATCAAAAAATTAGGAGCTGGGCATGGTGTCACATGTCTGTAATCCTAGCACTCTGAGGCAAGAGGATCACAAGTTGGAGCCCTACTTGGGGAGACCCTGTCTGAAAATAAAGAAGGGCTAGGGATGTGACTCATTGCAAAGGTCCAGTATTCAAGCCTCAGTACTTAAAAAAAAAAAAAAAAAGTTCTTGTGGGGCTAGGGGTACAGCTCAGTGGAGAATTGCTAGCCTAGTTTGCTTGTAGCTCTAGGTGTGATCCCTAGTACCTCAAAACAAAACAAAATGAAATTCCTAGTTTGATATTTCATAGTTCATAGGGTCAAATTCTGAGTTACCTAAATTGATTCCATTGATTTTTTTTTTTTTTTTTTTTTTTTTAAATCAGGGATCAAACTTAGGACCTTGTTGCCAGGCAGATGTTTAAGCCATTGAGCTATCTCCCTGACCCAATCTCCAGTCCTTTTTAATTTTTAGTTCTTAGACAGGCTGTAACTCAGGTCCTAAATTACCCATTCTGGGTTCAAGCTTTAGATCTCACTACACTTGAGGACCACTGAGAGCTGGAGACCAGCCTAGGGTACACAGAGGCCAGTCTGGACTAATACTGAGACCTTGTCTTTAAAAAAAAAGAAAGAAAGAAAATTAGTGCTGGCCAGATAGCTCAGCAGACTAAAGTGCCTGCTTAGGTAGGCAGAGCAACTGGGGTTCTATTCCCAGCATGCAGTGCTAACCCTGCCCCTGAGACTGGGCCTAGTGGGTTGTGCCTCTGATACCAGCTCTTGGGAGGCTGAAAACAGGAGGATCAGAGTCTGATCTGTGTAGTGAGACCATGTAGACCCTGAACTAAAATGCATTAAAAAAATTTGGATCCTTTTGCCTGAGCCCTGGAATGCTAGGGTTATAGGCATATGCCTTTATGCTTGACTTTAAAATATATATATTTTTAATTGTGTAAGGTATGTATAAAGTCTACCATTCTAGCAGTTTTTATTTATTTTTCATAATTTTATTGATAAATAGATAGCAATGAGACAGTTTCAAATCAAATCGGTAGGACAGTTTCAATAACTAACACACTGCATATATTCTTTTTTTTAATTTTTTTTAATATCTTTATTTATTTGTGTGTGTGTGTGTGTGTGTGTGGCCAGCTCAGCCCACCAGGGTGCGGGGCTGGCTGGCATGTGGTGCTGGGGGATTGAACCGCGGTCCCTGTGCTTTGCTAAGCTTGTTCTAAGTAGGTGCTTTAGACCACTGAGCCATCTCACCAGCCCCACTGCATATATTCTTAGTGGTTAATTGCTGTACAAGATGTGGACTTGAGATCCTATTTACAAACGCCATTAGAAAATTCTAGCAGTTTTTAAATGTACAGTTCAATAGTGTTAAATACCTTGTGTTGTACAACTAATCTCTGGAATTTTCCCCCCATGCTAGTGGGGATTGAGCCCTGGCCCTTTCCTCTGAGCTATATCTTCAGCCTCTACCCCTTAAAAACATTTTTAAAAAAAATTTTGAGGGGCCGGGGAGATCACTCAGTGCAATAAGCGCTTTCCCGACAAGCGCAAGGGCCTGAGTTCAATCCCCAGTTCTGCAAAAAAAAAAAAAAAAAAAAAAATTTGAGACAGAGTCTCCTAAAGTCAGTCCTCCTGCCCCATTCTACCAGAGTGCTAGGATTACAGACATGTGCCACCATTCCTGGGTCTAGGATTTTATTTTATTTATTTATTTTTTATTTATTTGTGTGTGTGTGTGTGTGTGTGGCCAGCTCAGCCCACCAGGGGGCAAGGCTGGCTGGCATGTGGCGCTGGGCTTTGCTAAGCTTGTTCTAAGTAGGTCCTTTAGACCACTGAGTCATCTCTCCAGCCCCCTGGATCTAGGATTTTAAATGACTAAATTTTCTTTCATAATACATAGCAGGATTACTTTCTGCCTCTTAGTTTGAATGCTGTAGATACTGCATGCACATAAGTGGAATTATATCATGTTTGTGTCTTTTTTGGACTGGCTTGCTTCACTTGTCTTAATGTACCTAAGTCTCATCTATGTTGTAACATGTGCCAGAAATTTCTTTTATGTTAAAGCTGAGTAATATTCCATTGTATGTCTATGCCACATTTTGTTTATCTTTTTTTTTTAATGTATTTGGTACAGGGTCTCACTATGTATCTCGGATTCGTAATGATCTTCCTGTGTTTAGCCTCTCCAGTGTTGGGATTACAAGTGTGCATCACCATGCTTGTTCTCGTGGCTTGCTCAGTGTTCCCAAGGGTGGGGCTGGTGTAGCATGTGGTGCCAGGATCAAACTCCGGTCCCTGCACTTGCCTAAGCAGGCACTTAGTCCACTAAGCTACCTCTCTGGCCCTATCCATTCATCTTTAAAAAAAAATTTTTTTTTAATGTATTTAGTACAGGGTCTACAGGGTCTTACTACACAGATCAGACTCATAGTAATCCTCCTGTTTTCAGCTTCCCAAGCGCTGGGATTACAGGGGTGCCCCACCACGCCCAATCTCAATCACAGTCTCAGCACACCCTGGGGGCGGGGCTGGTGGGGCGTGGATGGAACCCTGGTCCCTGTGTCTGCCTAAGCAGGCGCTTTAATCACCTGACCTATCTGGCCAGTCCATTTCTTTATGAACATTTGGGATGCTTCTACCTTTTGACTATTGTGAGTCATGGTCCTATGGACATATCTGTGTAGAAATATGTCTTTAAGACCTTGATTTTAATTCCTTTGGAGATATATCTCAGGAGAAATTGTTGTCTCATTTGGTAACTTTTAATTTTTTTTTTTAAGGCCTTTATTAACAGGCATATGCAGTTTGACTTTTTTTTTTTTTTTTTTTTTTGCGGAACTGGGGATTGAACTCAGCCCTCACACTTGCCAGAGAAACGCTTATTCCACTGAGCCATCTCCCCAGCCCCAGTTTGCCTTTTTTTTAAGCGTCAAGTTGCAAAATTTTTAATACAAAATAAAAGAAGTCCTTAAAAATCTCAACTTGACCAAACATGAAATAATTTAAAAATCTTTAAAGGTATATTGAGAAAAACCAGGCTTTAAAAAAAACCAAACAAACACGTGGGGTTTTTTTGCTGCTGTTCTTTTTTTAAACAGGGTCTCACTATGCAGATAAGGCTCACTTTGTAGCCCAGGCTGGTCTAGAACTCACAGCAATCCTCCTCCCTTAGCCTTCTGAGTGCTGGGATTACAGGTGTGCATCACCACTCCCAGCTTATTTTCAGTATTTTTGAGGAACCACTGTACTGTTTTCCAAAGGAGCCGCTCTACATTTCCACTGGCACGGTAGTACATAAGGGTTCCAACGTCATTATCACCACTTCTTATTTTGGGGTTTACTATTAGCTATTTTAATAGGCGTGAGAGAATGTATTGTGATTTTGATTTTAATTTCCTTAATGATTAGTGATATTGAACATCTTTAAATATGCATGTTAGCTATTTCTTTTGAAAAAAA